GTAACTGACCTTTATTTTATTTGACACAGGAAGTGTCCTTGCAGCTGCTGTCTGTTTGGAGAAATCTGAAGAGAAGGTTGTGCAAGCAAAACTAAGTATATCTAAGCAAATCTAAACCATGATAGGCATTGTAAATCTAAACCATAAATATGAAATTTCCTTACCATTATCTAGTCCAACTATGTGTAGAAATTCAGCCATACCAATATCTTTGCTCTGTGCCTTTATGCATTCTTGATGATCGTGCAAAAAACTTTCATCAGCAATGGAACAATGTGGACTTCGTTCCTCAGAAACAGTGCTTAGCTTTGTGGTTTGATTCTTCTTTGATGCCTCATGCAGGTGGAGCTTGCTGGAGTTTGAAATGTCAGAAAGTGCCTTTCTACCAGTGGATTTTTGCACTTTCTCTGAAGCTTTTGGAATGCTCTTCTTGCTGGCACCTTGTGAGATGCCAGAGGCACCAATCTCTTTCTCAGTGAAGGAGAAAATGTTAGACTTCTGTATTCTTGTTGCCTGATATGGAGTTGCTTTTACTGAATTGGACAAATCACCGAGTGGCTTCCTTCCACTAAGCCCTCCTTTTCTTGGTGCTTTAGAGACATTAGTCTTTCCTCCAGCTGAAGCTCCTGCAGAACACAAGAAGACAATCCAACTTATACCCCCAATGCCACAATATAACTAACTTGAACATCAAAATCAAAAGCATAAACAACTGTACCATTGAAGTGAACATTCAAATCCTGGTCTTGAGTAAGCGATGCCATTGAAGCAGTCTGTAGGCAGATTTAAAGTGCTATTCTGCAGAAGTTAGAATCCAACTTATATGAGAAATTAAATATGTATAAGTTCATCATCATATATGTAAAAAATTCAGAGAAACGCCATATATGAGATCATAATTTAAATTACCATGACTTAAGGAACCAAACATGCAGATGGGAACTGTTCTATGGTGGCCTCAGAGCACCCTACATATTCATCTAGTCGCTTCTCATGCACAAAACACAGTATCTGGATTTCTGTTCTAGGCTTTTCAGTTCAAATAATCACAATCCCTTTTTCTTCTTACCCAAATAAGCAAAAAAGTACAAGAAAAGAATGTCTAGAGTAACACAAATTCAAGATTTTGTATTCTTTCTTTGAAACTACTACAAATTTGTTTTCTTTTCCAAAATTTTCCCAGCAACCAAACCCAGGATTTACTTAACTACTCGCCTTATGATTCTCATTGCAAATAACTGACATAACCCTAATCATCAGGGCTAAAAAAACAAAAAAACAAAAAAACAAAAAAACAAAAAAACCAGTAATCATTCGAACACAAAATAAAGAAAAACTCAGAAAATTCTTTAGAAATTTATGAGAGGCTTACTTCCAATCTCGTCTTCAACAAGCCAAAAAATTTCTAGGGCTTAATCGCGTTTCAATACAAAATTTCTACGATCAAGAGAATGAACTACCTTCAATTTAAAGTATTATTAATTCTTTCCTTCCGGACTGTTATCAGATCATACCAAATCTTTCCCCAGAAAAGTACCAACAAGAACAAGAAAGCCAGAAAATGAAGGGTTTAGGAGACGAACTCACATTTAGTGTTTGATCAGCCCAATCTACGTCGTCAACAATCTGAATTTTCTTGAAATTCGAAGCGGAATCGTCCTCTCTTGTTCGACAAAATCTCAGATTTCTTAGAAAATGGCGATGATTTTTCTCGGTTTGGAACTTCTTTCAGATACATGGGGTATTCCAAGAAACGGATCCGCCACCGCTCTTAAAGGAACGCTGGGGTCTGCATTCCAACGGTAACTTCGTGCGATTTTACAATAATGCCTTCTTTTTGAACACATAATTACCAAAATGGCATACGCTCCTTTTCGGCCTTTTGGGCTTACACTTGGGCTTCTTAAGGGGTCAATTAGAATACCTTGGGCCGTATTCTCTATTCATTCCAAAGCCCCAAGAAAGAAAAAGGAAAAAAGGGGAAGAAGAAGCTGCTGGTTTCCTAATCATAGAGCACCGAAATTTGAAGGAAACAGAAGAAATGAGCAGTGAGGGAGAAAGGAACGAGGTGGAGCTGAGTGTGAATTCTCGGATTTGAGCCGCCGTGCCGGAGTCGAAACGCCGGGATACCGATTGAGAGGAGTTAGTTGGAGTTTGATTCTTTCGGAGGACTGCATCCGGAAGTTGTGAAGGTTCATAATCTCAGATCTTCACAATCGATTGTTTCAGTTCTTGATCGGAGAGATAGAGAATGTCGGTGCAGGAGTATCTTGATAAACACATGCTCTCCCGGAGAATCGAAGACGCAGTCAATGCCGCCGTGCGAGCCAAAACTCCTGATCCCGTCCTCTTCATCGTAACTCACTATCTCTCTTTCCTTGTTCTGTTAAATCGAATCAATTTAGTTTAGCTTTTAGATTCCTTATTTTTGTTTCCTGTTGCGTCGGATGCAGTCTAATCATATGAGAAAAGCCATTCCTTCGGTGATTACGAGGATAAAGGCGCGGCAGATCCTAGATAGTAGAGGAATTCCTACTGTTGAAGTAGATTTGTACACTAACAAAGGAATGTTTCGTGCTTCTGCTCCGAGCGGGGATGGCACTGGAATGTACTGATCATTTCCTTTTACGTCTGTAGACTAGCATCTTTACTTATCTGAAACTATTTGTGTTGAAAAGTTTGGTTTGCTAAAAAATGGAACAGTTTACCTTGGGAAGCTTATGTTGGTTTTCTTTGCAAACTGAGCCTCACATGTGTCTTGATTTTCTTATACGTATATGGCAGTATTTGTTTGTAAATTGAACACCTTAATTTATCCCCAGCATATGATTTTCTTCAACTTGCATAGGTTTTTGTGTTAATTACAAAAAACTCCACACCTTTAATGCTTGTGGTAATTACAAAAATAGAAGCTTGTTTTGTGGTTTTCTGGTTTTATTGTGTTTAAAATCCCATGAGATAGGTGGAGTGTGATGGAAAGCTGATAATTTATTCCAGGTATGAGGCGGTTGATTTGCGAGATGGAGACAAAGGATCATATCTTGGAAATTCAGTGACAAAAGCTATTAAGAACATCAATGAGAAAATTTCTGAGGCACTAATTGGCATGGATCCAACACTTCAGTCTCAAATTGATCAGGCCATGATAGACTTGGACAAAACAGAAAAGAAAGTAAGTGTTTCTCTTTTTCTACATAATTTCAATCTAGTTGAATTTGGATGAAAATTGTCTGGTGTTTGCTTGAATATGGGTCGAAAAGGAAAAAAAAAATTGCTAAATCACTTTAGTGTCTTCTAGTTTGGAAACCTTGCACGGAGAAAAAGCTAGCAGGATGCTGGCTGTCTTATTCAAGATGCTGCATGATTCACCTTATGTCAAAGATTGTACTTGTTTGTGGCTTGGCACTTGGCAGCATTATGTTTCCTTGTATAAAAGATGAACGATTTTGCAGAGTGAACTTGGAGCAAATGCCGTATTGGCTGTGTCAATTGCTGCATGCAAAGCTGGAGCTGCTGAAAAGGAGGTAGTAATTCTTGTTAATCTTGTTTTTGGTTTCATATTTATATACTGGAATGTTCTGTTCTCTAGTCAAAGAATCTAACCAACATGAAAATCAGGTTCCACTTTACAAACACATTGCTGACCTTTATGGTAAATCCAACTTGACAATTCCCGTCCCTGTCTTTTCTGTTATCAACGGTGGAAAACATGCTGGTAATAGCTTGGCCTTTCAGGTATATGCCCATTCAGCTTTAAATTCTCATCATTCATTTGTTAAATATTTTATCTTCTCTTTTCTTTTCTTTCCCAAACCACAGCCTTGTAGGGTGTCAAGGAGGGAAAAATTCATTTACCTCTGTATTTTTTGACCATCATGCAATCTATAAGTATTGTGAGTAGAATATTTGGATTTAAAAGGAAACGCTATAGCAACTATTAATTCAGTGATTGCTGTGCTATACTCGAATTGTAGTTCATTTTACATGTATCCTCTTCTTCTTATAATTTGTACCTGAAAGAGGCTGCGAAGTGGTTTAGTTTAGATTATTCTATGTCTGCTAGCTTCGCAGTACTTATGACATGGTTTGAATTGAAATACCATCAGGATATCATGATTCTCCCGACAGGGGCAAGTAGGTTTGAGGAGGCCTTACAAATGGGTTCTGAGACCTATCATCACTTGAAGGTAGTCTTTTTCCCGACTGAGTTCATTCACCTTTGGGATTTTGCTTTCGGTTTGCTTGCTATTTATTCGCGTTTCAATTTCTAATTAGTTTGGAAGAAAATTTTGCCACGCAGCTAGTTGCAATCATTACAGTAGTTTGGGAATAATTTTGACAATGCTAATCTCGAAACAATAACCTCTATAAAGAATTCTACAATTTAATCAACAGTGATTTGGTCTCTTTCCTATACTATCTTCTTCTTGGCCCTCCCATATTTTCTTTTCATAAATTCCCAGAACATCCCCCCCCCCCCCCCCCCAAAAAAAAAAAAAAACTGTAAAATGATTATCAGTTTGGTTTTTTGGCTATAGCAACTTCTTGGTTTTATGCATTAAACGTTCTAAAATTTGTGGTTAAAGTGCACTAATTTATTTATTGTAATTGTTGTTAATAAAAAGGGCAGGCTGTTATTTGCATTTCAATTTCTAATTAGTTTGGAAGAAATTTTTGCCATGCAGCTACTTGCAAGTGTGACAGCAGTTTTGGAATTATTTTGAGAATGCTAATCTCGAAACAATAACCTCTGTAAAGAATTCTACAATTTAATCAACAGTGATTTGGTCTCTTTCCTATACTACCTTCTTCTTGGCCCTCCCATTTTTTCTTTTCATAAATTCCAAGACACACCAACCCCACCCCCACCCCCCCAAAAAAAGAACTGTAAAATGATTATCATCTGCTGGGTTTTTTGACCATCACAACTTCTTGGTTAAATGCATTAAATGTTCTAAAATTTGTGGTTAAAGTGCACTCATTTATTTATTGTAATTGTTGTCAATAAAAAGGGCAGGCTGTTATTACAGAAAGATATGGTGCTAGTGGATGTAATGTTGGAGAAGTTGGAGGTCTG